AAACAGGCACACTTATGACCATAAAAGTCAGGTAATGGGGTTAAAATCCCCATCACATCTTATTTCTATACAATGTCCAAGTTTATACCCTCCTTTTTAACCCATAATATTGAATTCAAATGCTAAAACAAAGAAATGAGAAAGAAAAGAGTGATTAGAGATCTTCAACAAGAAGAGCAGCAGCAGCACCACTACCACCACCTACAGTATGTATTTCACTCAAAAACCCAACATTTTAGGCTAAATTCGGCAACAAATGATAATGTAATACAATGTCCAAGTGTATCGGCTGCTTTGAAGGCCATAATAATGAATTCAAATGTTAAAACTGTTCGTGTCGTAGTAAGGAAAGTCAGGTGAAAACACAACTAAGGGTTAAGCAGAACTGTACTTTAGTCAAGCATCGTATCATACAGGTGAACGAGTACTCCCACCACACAGTCCAGGGAGTGGCGAGAAGTGTGACCAACCTCCCGCTGAAGGTGGCACACCTGCTGCCACGAACATCTTCCCCCTCCAGCCCATTTGTTTCGGACCGTTGTTTTTGTTTGGTGTGTAGTGTGGGAGATGTGTTTTGTAAGGTACCATTGCAGTTATTTATACTCGAGTCTACCGTCAAAGTGTCATATTCCGGACAAATTTGACCGTTTTTCCTCAATATTTCTAACACCGGTAGGGGTATGAAAAATTCCAGCGGATTCTAGAAACTAGGCGCCAAGATATATATTTTCCATCTGGAGAGGAAATTTTCTTTGCGCCAGTTCAACTGCATAAGCCTCTGAAACCCCGTCCGGATTTAAACCCGAAGCCGGGGCAAATCCGGACAGTCCCTATTTTTGCTATTAAATGGCAGTAGAACAGGTCGATACGCCAATACTGCACTGCAGCTACGTGCCAGTACACACCAATTTAACCCGTAACTGCGAAACCAGAGTGATATTGAAATTTTCGAGGCAAAATTGGTCCATTTCAGAAGTTAACCAACTTCTGCAAAAGTCAGTGCCATTTTAGTAGAAGAACATTAGTTTCGCAAAACAAGAATGTGTACAACAATATTTACCTCACAGGATTTTGTCAACATTGAAAATTTAGTGCATTTTTAACTAAGATTTGTAAGTGAGAGATCGAGTGAAATACCGTACAATCAATATTACGCGAAAAAGTCCGCAGGATATTAAAAAATTTTCGACTCCAGCGCAGTGACGTTAAAGCTGTATCTAGTGACCGTGGCTAGCCTTGGTGCTATGAGGCACACGCATTGAAGTACCGCTTCACAGTGTGTGTACTGGTCGGGTCCTATTATTCAAATTGCACTGCTCTGGGCGGCTCTAAAATATGAAACTTCTAATTATTTAAATCTTCAGAGCCTCCCGGAAAAGTGTCTATCTAAATTATGAACCTACATTGTGTAATTTGCTGTAAAAGTGCGAAAAAGTAGTGTCCGGATTTACCATGCTGGTCCGGAATTAGACACTTTGACGGTACTAATAAGTATTTTTTCACCACTATTTTTTATTTGTTATCTTTTATATTTCACAGTGCATATTCTTCTTGCCAAAACGGTCGTCGCCGTCTCCGCTGAGACCTTCTAGGGCCGTCTGCAGCGTCGGGTCCTGGGATCCTGTCTCGGAGCCCTCCGACGCCGAGGTGGGCTTCGTGGCCTTGGTGGAGACTCTGGTGGAGCCCCGACCTCCTCCTCATATATCGGGTCCATCGGAGCCTGGGCTCGCCTCTCCGACTGCTGATCCTCCCGCATCTGTGGGTCAGAAAGGAAGAGGTTAGGATCCCTAATCACTGCATCCATGTCATGTTTATCAGGTGTGGTCTTAGATTTTGTTTAGATGGAATGTAGTCCGTCTGAACACTCTCCCAGTCAGTGTCTTGATGTAGTAAGACCTCGGAGCCGGGTGCTTGGCCGACTATCTGTGCCTTCCTCCATTTTCCCCTCCGCCCCTCCTGGGAGGTAGCTAGTAAGGCGCCTGCGGGCACGCCTGTCATGTATCCGTTTAACCTTGGCCTGTATTTGTTTCAGTTCCGGCCTTACATCCACGACCTTCGGTTCTAGTTTGACATGAAGACTCGGGACCAGTGTCCGGCACCGCCTACTCACGAGGATCTCAGCTAGCGACACCTGCATACCACTAAGAGGAGTGTTGTTATACTCCCGAAGAGCATCTAACATGTCCATCCCTGAGTCATGGCACCTGTCGAGCAGTTTTCTAGCACTGCCAACTCCTTTCTCAGCCATGCCCTTACTCTTGGGATATTCTGGCGAGCTTGTTATAATTTCACAACCTATTTCCCTAGCATATTCGTGGCACTCAAAGGAGTTGAGCGGGTTGTTGTCACCGAAAATAGTGTCAGGGAGCCCATGGGTGGCAAAGACCTGGCGTAGAGCATTAATTACCGCCCTTGCACTCTTGTTCTGGAGGGGCTTTATTTCCAACCAGTGCGACAGGTAATCCTCTTTGACCAGGTTAGCGTTCTGGTTGTGTGATAAAATGTCACAACCCACCTTTTGGAATCTCAGGTGAGTAACGTCATGGGGTAACAGGGGTTCTTTATAATTTGCCCTGCCATGCCTCTCACACGTTCTACACTGTGCTATCATGTTTTGTATGTCACTGTTCAGTCCAGGCCAATACAACATTTGTCTAGCCCTTGTTTTAGTTTTATCAACATTTAGGTGAGCACCATGGAGGTTTGTGAGCGCCTTTCGTCTCAAAGCTACCGGAACCACCACTTTGTCCTCCAGGACAACCAAACCATCCTCTGAGAACAGATCATGTCTGAGAGCCCAGTATGGTTTGGCTTCTGAAGCCACCTGATGTTGATCGTGAGGCCAACCATTTTGGTAATACTCTCGCACAGCCATGAGCCCAGGATCCTTGGCCGTTTGCAGCTGAAACTCCTTTTTGATTTTGGGCGACATAGCCAGGTAAGAGGTGACCTCATGGACCAACTTCTATCATCTCCGGGTCATCTGCTACAGGGTCACTGATAAAATGCCTGGACAGGAAGTCTGCCAGGTACATGTACTTCCCCGGAAAGTATTCTACCTTGGGGTCAAAGCGGAGCATTTTAATTCTCATTCTTTTGAACCTGTTATTCGTGATCTGAGATATAGGATTACGGAAAATAGAAACTAGCGGGAGATGATCTGTCTGAAATCGCACCTGAGGCATGCCATAGATAAACTTCTCAAATTTGACTGCAGCAAAGCACAGAGCCATCATCTCCTTTTCGTATACCTAGATCTACCGGAGGGGTCATTTTGACCCCTAAGTGTTATTCTGCCGTTTTAGCTGTTAAAAGACTGCGGTTTTGGTTACACAACTTCTTATTTTCGATTTTGTTGACCCTTGATGCAGTATTTGGACCTACGGGGGTCCCTGTGTGGGGGTAGGTAGGCAACCCACAAGACACGGAACGCAGTTTTCATAAGTTTTACAGATTTTTTCGCAATTTTTCGTTTCGTTTCGGGTAGATTGCATAAGATTACAATAAAAAACAATAATTCTCAACATTTTAGCATAGCCTGTGTTTGTTTTAGGCTGACCAACAACGGTAAACACCGCAAATACGGTAAGTAATTCTGAAACTTTTGTTCTGCGAATAAAACAGTGTACAAATATCATGCAATATTAGTCGAAATAGACCATTTACAAGGTAGATGTACGCCAGACCACGTCTCGCGTAACAGGCTTCGCGATATCTCCCGAAACACTGTTACGCTGCGACGCGCCTGGCATACATCTACCTTGGCCTGCGGCGCTGACACCCGAGTCGGGTAGAGCAAAAATGTACCCAAAGATTCGGGCCAAGGGTCTACCACTAAGAAATTTTGCGTACGAGGATTATAATCACTCGTGATTATTACTGATTATTACTGATTATCACTGATTATTACTGATTATCACTGATTATTACTGATTATTTTGATATGAAAGATTATTGCGAT